ACATCCTGGTATTCCACATACCAGCACTGCAGTATCACTTGGTGACGTGGCGAGTCCAATAAGTGCAGTACAAGCTGGTGTGGGGGGCGAGCACAAGTATTGTCCCGCAACCACCAAGAATTCACACACACAGGCCCGTAGAGCCCCTAGTATCCTTCCGGATGTGCTTGCAAATCCCGATTGGCAGCCCACAAATTCTGCAGCACCCGTACTTCCCCCATTCACTGCCCAAACCGGAATTCAGGTAGAAACAGCAAATTTAACTACTCCCCTTGATTTTTTGGAGCTGTTTTTCACAGAAAGATCTGTATGCGTTGATTGTGGATCAAAGCATTTTATATGCACAACAATTTATCGATGCCAACCCAAATTCAAACCTTGTCAGACCAGTCGCATGGAAACTCATTACGGTTTACAAATTTACATTTTTTTGGGGCCCGCTGTGTACATGAGTTTTGCTTATTAGGTGATCTCTGGTAAATCTTCTAGAGGGCAAGTGGTTAAAGTTAAAATTTTGATTGGTCACCAAAACAGGAATAAATGGGATATCTTCCAATGGGAACACCCAGTTCTGTTGACAATCAGGGATTTCTCTCACTTTGAAGGGATTTCCTCTCACTTCCTGTTTTGGCTATGAGACAGGGACGGAAGAGAAAATCTCCCCAATGGGACACAGTCCCCAAAAACACTGACAGGGGTTATAACCCAGCCTCCCTTACCCCAGGTTCACACCTAAGCATTTTCTGCAGTGTTTTTCAGAAACGCAGTACAGTCCATTTAACATGATTTCCTATGGGACATGTGCGTTTTCAACCGATGCGGTTTTTGGAAAGGGTCAGAGACTTTTTTGAACGCAAAATGTTGTGTTTTTGGTTCTATAGACTTCAATGGAAACGCTACAGAAAACCATATATGGCATTTTTGCCTAGCAACAAGAAAAATTTATAAAAATGAAAGAACAAAATGCAAAACGCATTACATCACAGTGCACCCCCCTTACCTTGTACTGGTGCCAGAAAGAAGCTGGGGGCGGAGCTGGGAAATAGAATGTGCAGGGTCTGGAGAAGGACCAGAGGAGTGCTGCTGTCAGAGTCTATTGAATGCTGAGACCAGGGAAGGTGGAGATGAGGGGATGCTGGGGCTGCACATAGAAGTGCAGGTTCTGTAGGAGGAGTTCTGTCCTCCTCTCTGCTGTCGACTGTTGAGAATGGGAGGCAGAGAAAAGCCTGTCCACAGCTGCATGAAGAAGCACAGGTCTGTCCTCCTCTCTACTGCTGACTGTTGAGACAAGGTCGGAGTGAGACAAGGGGGGTGCCAGAGCTGCAGGAGAGGTGTGAGGGCCACATGAAATGGCCTGGTGGGCCGGATTCAGCCCACAAGCCTTGTATTTGACAAGTGTGCCTTAGGAGATCACTCTGAGTAGGCACTGTTGAGAGCAGGGGTCTCCATACTTTCCAAGCAAAGGGCCGGTTTACTTTCCTTCAGACTTTAAGGGGGCCAGAATATGTCCCGGCATCAGTGGGAATAAACAATACCCCATCTTTGGTGTTAGTGAGAGGAATTGTGCCCCATTGTTTCTGTCATTGGGCTCCATTCTTGGTATCACTGGGATGAACTGTACCCCATCTTTGGTGTCATTGGTTGGAATTGTGCCCCATCGTTGGTATCACTGGGAAGAATTAATTGGTGTCAGTGGATTAAATAACGCCCCAAGGGCCAGATAAAAGCAAGCAATGGGCCGCAGTTTGGAGACCACTGGTTTAGAGTGAAACACATTGGAGACCTCTTTTTTCTGTTATGTACCCCATTTTAGCACAGTAAAGGATTTTGCATCATACACTGGATTGTGCTCTCATCCATTGCTTGCAATCTACCTTAACAGCTCCCCCTCTGCCTTATAGCAGAAATATTGCTACAGGGTGGCAGGGGGGTGCAAAATCACATATATATGTGATTTTGCAGTTCAGGGTAGGGGGTGCGTGTGTGCCCTACCTGTGCCGCCATTCGCGGCACCAGCTGTCAATTGCCAGGTCCAGAGCCATACAAAGTAGTGTGCTCACAGTGGAAATCACACACACAGCAAATAATGTGAAACAGCACACAGTTAACCCTTTGATCGCCCCAGATGTTAACCCTTTACTGCCAAATGCCATTAGTAAAGTGTCAGTGCTTTTTATTAGCACTGATCACTGTATAAGTGTCACTGGGGAAGTCAGTGACACCAAGTCAGTTCCCCCCAGTGTCAGAATGCCAGCCACAGTCCCGCTATAAGTTGCTTCATCGCCGCCATTACTAGTAAAAAACAAAATTCCAGTATATATACCATTTGTAATTGCTATAACGTTCACATAAACCAATGAATTTACACGTACTGGGATTTTTTTTTTAAGCAAAAACATGTGCGCTAATGAGGCTGCAGTGATGGGCACTGATAAGCTGCACTGATGGACACTGATAGGTGGCACTGATGAGGAGGCACTGGTAGGTGGCACTGATGAGGAGGCACTGATGAGGAGGCACTGGTAGGTGGCACTGATTGGCATTGACAGGCATCACTGATGGGCACTAAAAGGCAGCACTCGTATGCGGCACTGACTGGCACTGTTACGTGGCACTGACTGGCAATGTTAGGCGGCACTAATAGGCAGCACTGATGCGCACTGATAGGTGGCACTGATGGGTGACACTGAAAGGCAGCTTAGATGGGCACTATTTTGTGGCATTGATGTGCACTGGTAGGCACTGATATGTGGCATTGATGTGGCACTGGCAGGTGGCACTGATGAACAGTGACAGGTGGCACTGCTGGGGCTACACAGATCATCAGGGCCCTGATGATCTGTGTACATGTCCCCTCTGAGGAATGCCGATTACCGACTCTCCTCTCCTCTGTCAGCGTGACAGCTTTTTTTTTTTTTTTTTAAGCAAAAACATGTCGCAGAATACATTTTTTTTCCCCTAAATTTATGACATTTGATTTTTTCAATGTGTTTATTGGACATGTTTAATAGCAAAAAGTCAAAAAAATATTGTTTTTTACTCAAAATTGTTGGTCTTTTTTGTGAAAAAAAATAAGCGCACAGGTGATAAAATATCACCGAAAGCTGTATTCGTGGGAAAAAAAAGACGTACATTTCATTTGGGTGCTGCTGCGTTGCATGACCGTAGTAGACTGACGTAACACAGCGCCGTAATGCAATAAATGGCCTGGTCAGGAAGGGGGGTACAGCCTCTGGGGGGCAAGTGGTTAAAATGACCATGGAATGAATTCAAAGGACAATGTAACCCATACAATCCATCAGAATACTTTTTTAGCGGTTTACTTAAAGTGAACTGAAATCTGATTGGCTGCTTTTGGTTACTTTTCTTTGAACCTCGTTGTTGCTCTTTATAATGCGTTTAAATAAACCCTACAGAAAACAGCCAATCAACTAACAGCTGCAATCTATACTGAGGATTAGTCTAGCAGGATTACTTCTACAGGATAATAATACTTACTGGAAACGGTATTAGTCATTTTAATTCCTTTAACCTCTTATCACACCTGGCAGGAATGTACTTCTGGATTCCAGTATCAGTCTTTATTGCTGCATAGATAAGTTGAAAAAATGTCATACAGTAGGCCCAATTCACAATTATAACATATAGCATAAGGATACCTATTATCAAACAAAAGTGACAGTTGATTCAAGATTGGAAAAGTCAGGAAGGTCAGGTCTTTGGGGAAGGAGAGAAATAAAGGATGATCTGTAAATCATGCTGGGAGATGGAGTGAGGGGTAAAAAAAACAGAGAGACTCCCTGGATTTTAGGGTCAACTAACTAAAAAAACCAAGGAGTCACCCTGTTTTTTTTAACTGCTCACTCCATGTTCCCCTTCCTGCTTAGTCACCAGGTAATCTGATATTCACAATGCACTCTTGATGTGTTCATAGGTGTGTATGTTTCTGTTTCACCATGATTGTCATCATTTACATACGGGCATTTACCCTTGATTTCCCATCTTCCCCTTCCTGCTTAAACTGCAATATATTCCATTGTTGTTCCTACACGCTAATCGGCCAGCTTGCCGGATCTCAGTACAGCTTGCGGGATCTGAGCGCGGGTTGCGGGATCTGGGCGCAGGGTTGCGGGATCTGGGCGCGGGTTGCCGGATCTGGGCGCAGGGTTGCCGGATCTGGGCGCAGGGTGCGGGATCTGGGCGCGGGTTGCGGGATCTGGGCGCAGGTTGCGGGATCTGAGCGCGGGTTGCGGGATCTGAGAGCAGGCTGCGGGATCTGAGCCCAGGTTGCCGGATCTGAGCCCAGGTTGCCAGAACTGAGCCCAGGTTGCCGGAACTGAGCCCAGCCCAGGTTGCCGGAACTGAGCCCAGGTTGCGGGATCTGAGCCCAGGTTGCGGGATCTGAGCGCAGGTTGCGGGATCTGAGCCCAGGTTGCCGGAACTGACAGCAGGTTGCGGGATCTCTGAGCCCAGGTTGCCGGATCTGAGCGCAGGTTGCCGGAACTGAGCCCAGGTTGCGGGATCTGAGCCCAGGTTGCGGGATCTGAGAGCAGGCTGCCGGATCTGAGAGCCCCGGAGGTTGCCGGATCTGAGCCCAGGTTGCCAGAACTGAGCCCAGGTTGCCGGTGTTGCATGAAGATGTGTGTCCCGTGAGCATCTGCCCCCCTTGCTGTATCGGTTGCCGGAACTGACAGCAGGTTGCGGGATCTGAGCCCAGGTTGCCGGATCTGAGCGCAGCTTGCTGGATCTGAGCGCAGGTTGCGGGATCTGAGCGCAGCTTGCCGGATCTGAGCGCAGGTTGCCGGATCTGAGCCCAGGTTGCCGGATCTGAGCGCAGCTTGCCGGATCTGAGCGCAGGTTGCGGGATCTCAGCGCAGCTTGCCGGATCTCAGTCCAGGTTGCGGGATCTCAGCGCAGGTTGCCTGGATACGGTGCCAGTTTACCATCCTAGGATCCCAGGCAGGGCTCAGATTTTCCAGCAGGCCCGGGTGCTGACATGACAGGTTCTCTATGGAGATCAGGAAGTGTTTCTACAAACCGAAAGTAAAGAGAGACAACAGGAAGCTGAGCTCAGAGCCACGCCCAGGAATCCTGCAACCACGCAGAGGAGGACGATGAGGCTCGGGTGTACGGGGCTGCGTGTTCTGGCAGGTAAGGGGCAGGAATGGGGGACGTCACACCAAAAGGGGCACCCCGGTGACGCCAACCCTCTCTCTGTTGTCCTCACTTTGTCCGGTCAGACTCTGATCTGTGCTATATGTCAGATTTCCTACACTGGGCTGGCTTGTTGTTCTCCAGATCAGAAGATTCTAATAGGGTCACCATACACAATACAATCTGACCGTACAATCGATTGTAAGCTCTAATGAGCAGGACCCTCTGTTTCCTCTTGTACCAAATTGTATTGTAACTGTCATGTCTGCCTTCATTTTGTACAGCAAACCGTTGGCCCTATATAAATCCTGTATATAAATCATTTGAATTTTGTAATAACACACCTAATCTATCCAATCAGGCAGATCCCTGCACTACATAGGAGATTGTACAATAATGTGTGTGGTGGGCTTCAGGATGGCACTGATCCAGCCTCTGCTGAACTACAAGTCCCAGCAGATGGTGTTGCCTTGTCCTGTAGAGGATAGGGCGTGTGATTGCAATCTGATGCATGCCATGATTACATCTCATACAGGCCAGTACTGGGCAACTACAAGTCCCAGCAGATGGTGTTGCCTTGTCCTGTAGAGGATAGGGCGTGTGATGTGCAATCTGATGCATGCCATGATTACATCTCATACAGGCCAGTACTGGGCAACTACAAGTCCCAGCGGATGGTGTTGCTTTGTCTACAGAGGATAGGGCGTGTGATGTGTAATCTGATGCATGCCATGAATACATCTCACACCGGATAATACTGGGCAACTACAAGTCCCAGCATGCCCTGTGATGGGCTTTCACCAGGGACTAGCCTGATCATCACATGCATCAGGGCTGTCATTTCACATCCTTCTTGTTTTCTATATTGGGTAACAACCGCAAACATAAGTCCAGGGCGGGGCAGTGTATGCAAGACATTATTTGTGTGCTTTGATATCCGGGTATAATACTGATTATGGATGATACAAATCCTAGCAGGCTCCTGATCCCCTGTGATTGTACTGTGTAGTATAATAAAGATCATCAGGGTGGACTACAAATCCCAGCAGGCTCCTAATCCCCGTGATTGTACTGTCTACTATAATATAGATCATCAGGGTGGACTACAAATCCCAGCAGGCTCCTGATCCCCCGTGATTGTACTGTCTAGTATAATAAAGATCATCAGGGTGGACTACAAATCCCAGCAGGCTCCTAATCCCCGTGATTGTACTGTCTACTATAATATAGATCATCAGGGTGGACTACAAATCCCAGCAGGCTCCTGATCCCTGTGATTGTACTGTTTAGCATAATATAGATCATCAGGGTGGACTACAAATCCCAGCAGGCTCCTGATCCCTGTGATTGTACTGTTTAGCATAATATAGATCATCAGGGTGGACTACAAATCCCAGCAGGCTCCTGATCCCTGTGATTGTACTGTTTAGCATAATATAGATCATCAGGGTGGACTACAAATCCCAGCAGGCTCCTGATCCTTGTGATTGTACTGTTTAGTATAATAAAGATCATCATGATGGTACTGTATTAAAATGTAGAACAGGGCGGACTACAAATCCCAGCAGACTCTAGGTCCCTGTGATGGTAATATTTATTATAATATAGATCATGGGGAACTGTAAATCCCAGCAGGCTCCCCATCTCCGCAATGGTATTGTTTATTATAATGTAGATTGCAGTGAACTACAAATCCCAGCAGACTCCCCATCTCCATGATGATATTATTATAATGTAGATCGCGATGGACTACAGATCCCAGCAGACTCGGGGTCCCTGTGATGATAAAACATAATAGAGATCATGGGGAACTACAAATCCCAGCAGTCTTCCAGTTCCAGTGATGGTACTGTTTATTATAATATAGAGCATGGGGAACTACAAATCCCAGCTGGCTCTCCATCTCCATGATATTTATTATAATATAGATCACGATGGACTACAGATCCCAGCAGACTCTGGGTCCCTGTGATGGTAATATTTACTATAATAGAGACCATGGGGAACTACAAATCCCAGCATCTCCTGAATTCTGTGACGGTACTATGTGTTCTGAAGATCTCGGGGACTACAAATCCCAGCAGACTCTGAGTCCCTGTGATGGTAATATTTATATTATAATATAGACCATGGGGAACTACAAATCCCAGCTGGCTCCCCATCTCTGTGATGGTACTATTTATTATAATGTATATTACGGTGGACTACAGATCCCAGCAGACTCGGGGTCCTAGAGATGGTAATATTTAATATAATAGAGATCGTGGGGAACTACAAATCCCAGCAGACTCTCAATCGCTGTGATGGTAATATTTATTATAATGTATATCACGGTGGACTACAGATCCCAGCAGACTCCCAATCCCAGTGACAGTACTGTTTATTATAATATAGATCAGGGTGGACTACAAATCCCAGGATCCACAGGTCCCTGTGCTGGTAATATAACATAGGTAGTGGTGAACTACAAAATCCCAGCACAGGTCCCCCAGTCTCTGTGATGGTACTAGTAATGATGTACTGTAGCTCCAGTGGACTACAAATCCCATAAAACCCTTCTGCCTTTACAATCCATTTACACTGATTGTTGTTGAGCTGGGTGGTGCTTGTAGGGTCCCGCATATGACTTGATATACAGCCGAATCAGCCGGACGTCCCAGGGTGGGGGGGGGGGGGGGGGGGGGGGGCCTCACAGCGGAACTAAACCCTCCTATCTTTTGCAGCCAAGGAAGCTGCCATATTTGCTTCTGTTTGATCTGCAGTTGCCATGTTGCTGCACATGTGATCAGCTATGACACCAGCTATTTAAGAGCTTGACCGTTCAATTGAGAGCACAAGCAACTGTCTTGCGGCATGCCTTTAAATGTCACTGTTTTGGGAAAAAGGCCCGCAATACCTACCTTTCCTACAACGGTTCAAGGTCACTTACCGCCAACATCTTCTGCACGGCTTCTTCTTGGTCATCTTCATTATTATTGCGCATGCATTAATCAGTCCTGCTCAGTCACAGGAGTTCAGTTGTAGGTTCAGGATCTGTGCCAGAATGTAAACTGCGCTGTGCATGCGCAGCTCAGTGTACAGTCTAAGGAGGCCTGCGAGCAGGTAGGTAGGTTTTTCTTATTGCATGTTTCTTCTGCAGTAAAAAGTCTTTCTGCTTGCAGGTTTTTAATTTAAAGAAGCACTCTGGGACATTTTTTTTTTCTCCAATGCAATGTACTGCGTGGGTTAACTGCCAAGATATACTCACCCAATCCTCCCAGTGTAAGATCAGCCCCTGCATCTCCTGCCCAATCCCCCTGTGGTCTAGCGGTCTTGTGTGGTGGACTGTTCCTGATGTCATCACGCCCATTGACCAGCTCTGGACATGAGGCTGTCAGGAACAGTCCACTGCTAGATGTGGGGGAGCGCTGTCTTCTGGAGAATCAAAGCTTCAGGTGAGTGTACTGCATGGGTTAACTGCTCACTTTTGTATAGGGGATTGGAGAGCCAAGATGTACTCACCTAATCCTCTGATCCTCCCAGTGCAAGATCGGCCCCTGCATCTCCTGCCCAACTCCCCCTGTGGTCTAGCAGTCTTGTGTGGTGGACTGTTCCTGACGTCATCATGCCCATTGACCAGCTCTGGACATGAGGCTGTCAGGAACAGTCCACTGCTGGACATGGGGGAGTGCTGTTTTCCGGAGAATCAAAGGATCGGATAAGTATATGCTTTGTATTTTGCTTTTCCAGTGCAGTGTACTGCATGGGTTAACTGCTTGTTTTTGTATAGGGGATTGGAGAGCCAAGATATACTCACCCAATCCGCTGATCCTTCCAGTGCAAGACTGGCCCCTGCATCTCCTGCCCAATCCCCCTGTGGTCTAGCGGTCTTGTGTGGTGGATTGTTTCTGACGTCATCACGCCCATTGAACAGCTCTGGACATGAGGCGATCAGGAAGAGTCCACTGCTGGATGTGGGGGAGTGCTGTCTCCAGGGGAATCAAAGGATTGGGTGAGTGTACTGCATGGGTTAACTGCTCGCTTTTGCATAGGGGATTTGAGAGCCAAGATTTACTCACCTAATCTGCTGATCCTCCCAGCGCAAGACTGGCCCCTGCATAGTTACATAATTAGTCTGGCTGAATTAAGACAAAAGTCCATCCAGTTCAACCATTAAAAAAAAAGTTCTAATCCTACACCCACGGTTGATCCAGAGGAAGGCAAAAAAAAAACCCAGCAAAGCAATTTGCTCCTGCAGGGAAAAAAAATCCTTCCTGATCCCCCGAGAGGCAATCTGATATTCCCTGGATCAACTTCACCTATAAATGTTAGTATCCAGTTATATTCTGTGTATCCAAGAAACAATCCAGGACTTTTTTTTACAGCAATCCACTGAGCTGGCCAGAACCAACTCTTGAGGGAGTCTATTCCACATTTTCACAGCTCTTACTGTGAAGAAACCTTTCCGTGTTTGGAGTGTAAATCTCTTTTCCTCCAGACGTAAAGAGTGCCCCCTTGTCCTCTGTGATGACCTCAGGGTGAATATCTCTAACCGAGTTCACTATATGAACCACTAATGTATTTATACATGGAGATCATATCCCCCCTTATGTATTATACATGGAGATCATATCCCCCCTTATGTATTATACATGAGATCATATCCCCCTTATGTATTATACATGGTGATCATACCCCCCCTTATGTATTATACATGAGAATCATATCCCCCCTTATGTATTATACATGGAGATCATATCCCCCCTTATGTATTATACATGGAGATCATATCCCCCCTTATGTATTATACATGGAGATCATATCCCCCCTTATGTATTATACATGGAGATCATATCCCCCCTTATGTATTATACATGGAGATCATATCCCCCCTTATGTATTATACATGGAGATCATATCCCCCTTATGTATTATACATGGAGATCATATCCCCCCTTATGTATTATACATGGAGATCATATCCCCCCTTATGTATTATACATGGAGATCATATCCCC